GAAATTGAAAACTCAAAAAAAAGAAAACTAGAAGAAATTGATTCAGAATTAAATCAAATTTCTAAAAAATATCATATGACAGTCAAATTAGATAATAGAATCGAGACTGATTACAATTCAGATCCACAAATCGAATCTTCAATTCAAAATAACTATCAGTATTTTGAAAATTTTAGCAAATCAGAATCTGAGTTATCAGATCTTCACTCAGACGATTCTGATTATACACAAAAAAGGAAAAAAAGGAAAAAATAGAAAAGATAAACAAGAAAATACCATTGGTCAAGTACAATTTATAATTCATAAAAATATTATTGATCAACAACAACAAGAATACCAAAAAATTATCAAGAATCACTTGATAAAAAAGAATCTAACAATTTAGAAATTAATAATTTTGACTATAATGAAGATATAATTTTAGATAAACTACTGTACTTATCTAAAATTGATGAAAATTTTTTTATTTTGATTCTATAAATAAATAAAGCTAAAATAAAAAAATTCATTGCTTTTGAATAGGTAGTTATCGAGATATTATCGCTCAAATTTGTAAAGAACTTAGCCACAATCTTTGTTTTGATTTGATAATCGTCTAAATTTTTTTGAATTTAAACAAAAATATCTCGATAATTACCTATCTAAAATTGATGAAATTTTTTTATTTTGATTCTATAAATAAATAAAGTTAAAATAAAAAAACTCATTGCTTTTGAATAGGTAGTTATCGAGATATCATCGCTCAAATTTATAAAGAACTTAGCTGCAGTCTGTTTGATTTGATAATTGTCTAAATTTTTTTGAATTTAAACAAGGATATCTCGATAACTACCTATATAAAATCAATGAAATTTTTTTATTTTGATTCTATGGATCAATAGAATTAAAATAAAAAAAATTTATTGATTTTGGATAGGTAGTTGTCAAGATATCATCACTCAAATTTGTACTGTGGTCTTTGTCTAAATTTTTTTTGAACTTTAAACAAGGATATCTCAATAACTACCTATCTAAAATCGATTAAAATTTTTTTATTTTAATTCAATGGATTCATAGAATCAAAATAAATTTTTTTAAAGGTTTAGATACACAAGGTTTTTTTTAAAAACTTAGCCCCCCAATACTTGCGTCCACTATTGCCTAAAACTTTAATAGACCAATATCAGTAATGTAGGAATATGTAGTTACTGAGATATCTTTACTCAAGTTTGAAAAAAAAAATATATGGGAGGCTGCCAAGCAAATTGTTTTTAATGAGTTTTTTTTAAATTTTAAATCAAAATATCTCAACAACTATTAAATTAAAGGGCTGGTGCACCCTGCACCGTGTGCACCCTTTGCTATATCTAGGGCTATTAAAAGTCCGATCCTTTCGGTCCTGACTTAGTAAATAGGAACTTCGATTAGGACTCAGTCCTTGAGTCAAGTCCATACATGTAATAATTAGATAAATCTTGATATAAATTAGCCAATCATATGAATGCCTCCTAATCACAATACGAACAAACAACATGCATTTGACCAATTATATGGAACAGGCTATAGTAAAGCATCCAGTGTATATGTTATTTTAAAAATCTGCCGATGATTATCATCGACCAATTTAGAAAATTTAGACCAACAACTTAATCGAATATTTACTTACACGG